TCCTGAATCTTTTGCTTGATTTTTCCTGTTAAGCCTGTTAATTTGAGTTTTGATAGCAGGATCCCAGGTGAGATTAAATTCCTTTCGGAGATGATTTCGAAAGCAGATTATTTCGCGAATTTTGGCAGGAAGCGTGTGCTCATGTCTGACACGGTCAACCTCAGTCGTAGCTAGGGACTTAGCAGAATGCAAGTACGAAGTAAGTCTGTTATAGCACGTTCAATATACGAAGTGCTTTGTAACGAGTCACAATTAAAATCAGTCGTCATCAAAGTATTATGATAAAGATTCCAATCAGTATGCTTAATTGGCGGTAGGTTCTTAGCATTTTCCACTCCAAGGTAAGCAAGCACAGGTACATGATCAGAAGACATGTCACATGTTACCGTAATAGCCATAGGAATATTGAACGTCGTAATAAAAATATCCAGAATGTCAGGCCGATGGTTGAGTATATTTGGCCTATAGGTAGGCTCATCCGGCACATGCAGAAAGACAGGGTAATTACACACAAAATCATGCACTATGCGTCCATTATAATTCGAGTTGCATGGCGTTACGTTTTGAATACTTTCCCTTTATCCAGGTGCAGTCAGGAGATTGTCCAGTCAGGTGATCGTGCAGAAGTCAGGTGATCGTGCAGAAGAAGTCAGGTGATTGTGCAGTGGAAACGTTTTGTCTCGCGTGCTTCAATTAAAAAACGAAATAAAGATAAGAAAGATTTGGTTGATTTCTTAGCAAAATATGGTGTGCTAAACCAACTATTTTATTTGATATTTTTGGTATTTTTAATAACATAAATGCAAGTATACAAGTAACGAAAGAAGTTATTTTAACTTTAACCAATAAACTGTTGAGAACACTTGGGTTTAAAAAAAATTACTTTTGTAAGCATAAATTACAAGAAATTGTAGTTTAGAAAACTTTCAGTCACTTCTAAAAGACTATTACAAAACAATTAATAAAATAGATATTGATCATTTGACAATACTTGTTCAAACTTGTTCATGGCTTTACAAACTTATAAATAAAGCAATTTCAAAACTTGAAACTTGAAACATAATAATAAACGACACATAACGTGGTAATAACGTGGTCGTGGGATAATAAACGACACATAACTTCAAAACTTCAGAAAAATCAATTAATTGGTTCTGGGATCATCTTAGATACGATTATCCAATAATATCACACACAAAAAAAAAAAAAACCCTTTAAGAGCGTTATTCTAATTTTCCACATCATATTTGTTTGAATTTGGATTATCCATTTAGACCAACATAAAAACGAAGAACAAACGATCTGGACTCTTAAATCTGGATCACAAAATGAGAGTATCAATATCATTTTTACTCCCAAATTTAAATAAATTATCAACACCAATCTTAAATTTCGCATTAAACGTGATTTGTAATCTCTATATATAATAAAACAAAAAGTCTGTCTGTGTGTGTGTGTCTTTCGTTTGCGCTGCGCGTAAGCTAATAGACCCACGGCTACGAAATTTGGTACATAGGTGCATCTAGACAAGAGCCAGTGCACGTCGAAGCGATTTTTTCGAAATTCGAATTAGATTTTTTTTATTTTATGTGTTGTGACGAAATCGCGTCATTTTGAGACATAATGGGTTATAGGAAAACGAGATTTTACTCTACGCACTCCATTTTCACATGGTAATGAAACGTAGGCACTTAGCTATTTTACGAACTTAAAATAAATTTCGTGTTTTAATAAATCGATTAAATACGAATTTATTTAACAAAGTGAGCTTAACACCTTTTCAGCGGGATTTTTCTAAAAAACGTTATTTTAAAAATGTACAGTTTATTTTTCTTTGATTTTTGGACACGTTAAACTTTCATCCTTGCGACTGCTATACAAAAAGAATTTTGGAAAAAGGATAATATTTTGCCATTTTTAAAATTTTTTTAAATGAAGCTTCCGAGTACACTTCTCACATCTCACATCTTTACAAATGTGATTTTGGCAAACAATTTTCCTTTCTTATTGTTGTTGATAGATTTTTGATGAAATCGCATCATTTTGAATAGTTTCATTCTTTTAGAAATATGGGTTTGGCAACAATTTTTCATCGTATTTCTTATGTCATTGTTTTTAAGAGATTGGCATAATTCATTGCCGTTTTTTATATACATAATACATTTTTATTGATGTTTTTATAAAGTTGTTCTGCGGAGTAAAATTCTGCGCGGAATTTTTTGTTTTTTTGAGTTTCTTTCATGTTACTTTTTGCTTATTTCACTGTTTGTAAGATATTGAAAAGTTTTGCATGATTTTTTTTCTTCAACGAAAAGTTGGTTAATTTTTTTATTAGGATAATTAATATTTGTATTAAGGGATATAGCTTATTTCATTGTAATTTTTGGTGCTACTTTGGTAGACGATTGCACGGATTTTGGCAATTTTTCTTTTGGCGAGTAATACGACTTATGGTAAACCCATTGCTGGATAAGTTATTTATGGTAACCGATACTTTGCTGTCATTTATTTAAAAATAATGCGTTTTATTATGCATAAATTCCGTGTTTAAATATTATTTTATGGCTTCTAATATTAAAAATCAATTTATTTGCATTTTTTTTGAAATAAAATTTTGTTGTTTATAATATTTATAAAATTTTATGTTGTGGATGAGGTAATAATGACGTCACCTTACTTAAAACGTAATTGGTTTTATCAATATCTGTAAATTTAATTTAATGTTTAAAAATTATTTATGGCTGTTAAATATTAAAATACAATTTAATTTTGCATTGTTTTTAAAAAAATGATTTTATTTCTGAAAGTTTATTTAAATAATTTTAATTCTATGCGTAATGTAATCATTTCCTTATTGGTTACTGATATTTGTGCATTACCGCGCCATTTTAAAATTTTTATTATTCATCTCCTCGAAATCCTCAGATTTCAAATGGAATGGATATGCCGTTTTGAAATGATATTGTTATTGGTATTACTAAGAATTATTGGATCGGATAAAAAAATTGCCCTTTGGACCTATTTTGGCCAACCTGGCTTTCCTAATCAAATATTTATTTATGAAATTGTTGATAGTGTCAGAGGAAATTATTTTAAATTTTTGGAGAAAACCTCGCTAATTGCTTCTTCAATGAAGTGCGGGAGATGTGGATCACAGAATGAAGATCTTTTTTTTTTTTTTTTTTTTTTTTTTTTTTTTTTGTACTTATCAGTATATGACAGGTAAAATACTTTTAAAAAATGTAAGTACATAATTTTCTTTTACTTTATAATTGTAACACATCAACTTTTATTAAAAAATTAATATAATGTTTTCAAAAATTCCTTGAGATATTTATTGCCACATATGTTTTAATGTTAAAAAATTAAATGCCTATAAAACTTATTTTAAAGTATTTAAGTTAATATTTTGAATTCTTTTAAACGTTGGTATGGTGTTTTTAATTCGATATTCAATTTAAGCAATATTTTAATCAATTAAATGTTGGCGCAATGTTTTTATAGCGGGTGTTTTATTCTATTATATGAAAGTAATAATTTAACCTTACTTTAGCATTTTATACTCTTAGTAAATGTATTTATTTACATTTGCCAGCCATCTTAAAAACAACGTTTTCTACAAAAATTAATCCATTATTTTTAACGATATTTATTTTTTTAAAGTTTCCAATACTTTGCTATATGCGTAAAATACGTCAAAACAGCATTTTTCAAGATGGCTGATGACTATATAAACCAACAATTGCGCCAATGTAAATCGCCAAAAATCTGTGCAACCGTCTACCAAAGTAGCACCTAATTTTTTTCTCTTGAAAATATAAGATAAAATATCATTAATTATACTTTGCTTTTCAGTTTTTTTTTTTTTTTTTTTTTTTTTTTTTTTGTTATTCTTTATGTTATTTATTGCTCATTTCACTGTTTTTAAGATATTGAAAAGTTTGAGCGATTTTTTAAGAAAGAAAGTTTTAACCTCCTTTATACCATTTGAGTTCTTAAAGATTTTGCAAAGGGAAGTTGGTTATTTATTTATTAGGATAATTAATATTTGTGTTAAGGAATATTGCTTATTTCATTGTAATTTTGTTATACCTAATAACTTTTTTTTATGAAGTTGTTCTGCAGAGTAAAATTCTATGCAGTTTTTAAATTTAACGTTTGGTGTTCCCTTCAGCCATTTTCCCGGTACATTTAAAAGCCAGACAAAGGCTGGCAGCGAAGCTGTTAATCTTAATGTTAGTGAGCCGCTAAATTTTTATTTTATTAAAAGCGAACCGTTATGGAAAGAAGATTAAGAATCACTGTTCTACACCTCTGCAATACCGACAGACATTTAAAGATAAATTCTTCCTTTGGAAACGATATCTCAGAAGATCTTTTAGTAAATTAACCTTAAGGTAAAACATGAAACTGCGAAGAAGTCAGTATTATTTATTCATGAAAATGAAGCGTACATTAAGGAAATAACTTTGACCAAATACATCTTTTATAAATTTTCCGTAGTTATTAATCCCGAATATTCGAGTGATGATTACCTTCTTATTTTATATTTCCAATGAGCGTGTGATGTTTATGATTGCATTGAAGAAACAAATGCACCAAACAAGGTGATAACCTTAAGAAATTTGAATTTTAAAACTACTCTTAACTAGAATTATAAAAGGAAACTGTAGGTATTTTCAAAGTATTATCTGATGATATATGTACTGTCTGTTTTCCTATTGAACAAATATTGCATATGGAATCAAAATGTGTTATAACTACAAATATGAAGAATTAGTTTTATAATGCTACTATTTTTAAGTATGTATTTTCTATAAGAAGTATATTAAAATTCTTAAAATATTGAAATATTTCTGAAACATATTAATGTTTTACACTAGTTTATACAAATATTTAGGATACTTTTTATTAATATTAAAAGTGTAGAGTAAACTTTTATTGTCATTTGTAATGCAATTAATAATATGAAAACATCAAATTTCTTTTTTTTCTTTTAGGTTCGAGAACTGGTAGAGTATATACATCGCGAATTGCTAAACACCATAGAAAACATAACCTGGATGGACCAAATAGCAAAAATTTATATAAAAGAAAAGGTTTTTGTAATGTTTCGTTTTCTTAAATTATTTGAAATTATAAATCACATAATATGATACATATTTTTTATTGCTCAAAAGCCTCTGACAGTGAGCGCTATAGAGTTATCTGGCGTTATCTCACTCAGCTTGTAATGTCAGTTTTGGAAATGTAATTGTAAAAATACCTCTATATGTGTGACGTAACAAAGTTTTACCCCTCCAAAACTCTTATTATATTTAAGTGCTTTATTTAAAATCTGCTGTTTATGTAATTTAAAGTAAACTAGTTTTAACGCATTGATGGTTTCATCGGATCACTGAGATCATCAGTTAGATCACTGAGATCGTGCAGTTTAAAATCAGAAAAGATTGCAAGGTATTTTTGATCACTTCAACATATACAAAGTGTATTCACACGTTTTTAGAAATAAGAAATATAATAAGTAAATATATATAATAATCTATCAGTAACTTAAAAAAAGTTTTGGAATCAGCTTTCCAGACAACAGATGATTATTTGAAATGAGAAATGCTGTTCGCTACTTTTAAAGTTATTCTTTAAAAATGTCTCGCGTAAATAAGCTGTGGGTTGAAGGATATGTTTCTGCTCTTTCCGAAGAGAACTATTCCTGTTAAGTTAATCAACAATATTCTTAAAAGTGTAGTATTAAAATTTCGAAATAAGCAGCATTATTAATCGGAAAGGGGAAAACTGTCAATGATTACTTCTACATAGAAGGAAGACTCCATACTAATCCCCGAAAACAGTACTTCGAATTTCTAATGCTAAGTAAGCTAAATCTTCGGTAACAAGATAAAATATGCCGCTGCAAAAATCAATTGCAAAGTTTTTAAATACATCTGCAAAAACCATAAATAAAATAGTAAACCAAGATTTATAATTTAAGAAAGCTAAAGTAATATGTTTATCAGCCTCTGTCGCGGCATGTCGCTCAACGTTAAACAATTTTAAATTAAATTTTTAGAACCCAGAATGAAAATTATTTAGATGAAGAAATATGGAAATAGTACATTGTAACTTTTGATAAAGGCATGGATTTACCAAAATGAATGCAATAAAAATTTGAATATTAATTAGCAGAAAGGAAGAGAAAAAAGTGCGGATCTGGTTCTATCAATGCAGAGAAAGTTTCAGTGAGGGATTTATGATTGTCGCAGGATTCTCGTGCAGTGGAAGATTAAAAATAAGAAAATAAGAATGTGAAGAAAATGTTAAAATCAAGTCAACGTACTATCAAGATAAAGTTTTATGTCCTCTAGTTACAGAATAAGTACCATTTCTTTATCCCAATGAATTCTTAGGGTAAGATTTCTGACGAAGCAAAAAGACTTACTTGAAAAAGTACCACTCTATTCATTGAAAAATTTGAAAACTGATAAATGGATTTCATACATATTTTTCCATGTTTTCCTACAAAGCCCCCTGACGTTCCACCTATGAAATATTGTGCCTTTTGACTCTTGAAAAGAACTCTTTCTTAGCACAAACTCGAGCACGATTGATGGACTAGGGAAAATAGTAAAAGAAGAATGGAAATCAATATCCTTGAAAATTTTACGAATAGTCCTTCTGTTAAGGGAATCACTATGCAGACTTATAACCAGAAAAAAAGTCTGTCTATCAGACTGAAAATTTACGAACGCCGTTTAAATTTTAAACATTTATTAAACGGTCTTGAAGTCATTTTAAAAATGTGTACCCTCAAGTGTAAGAATTTGGCATAAGGAAGCATTTGAAGGAGATACCCTTAAGCAACTATTCCTCCACGACTTCTAACATTCCTGTTAAAGAGCCTTTGAAAATACTTGGAAAATGTGTATTTTTACGTGTATGTAGATTTTTGTTGATTGAATGGATGAAACGTTTAGAAATAAACTTTAACCGTTTTAGATAGTCCACTACAATGGAAATTTATGCTAGTTCTATATGTAAAAACGAAAAGTTAAAACAAGTAGTTTTGCCGTGGATCGTTTCTTCTGCTATTCATTTTTATGGAAGGTAACGCACTCGGTTTCGTCATTTTTCACTATTACTTCAATAATGGTCTTTGAAATGTTAAAAATAATATGCAAGATATTTTAAAGTATTCAGCTTTCTACCATACCTGTGCCAAATTATTTCTTCGCATTAGCAGATCAAAATTAAATGAAGACTCAAAATTATATCTCCCGACTTAAATCGTAGTAAAACGCAGCATTATATCCCATGGTTATTAAATGACTTTATATGAGAAAACATAAAAACGTGATACAAATAAATGCTCATAGCGGCTGAGCGGCGGCTTCTCGTTGAGAACTGATAGTTCGGTCCGGTGTTCAAATCCCTGCAAACTGGCATGCTGAATGAATATTTTTGAGGGTTTCCTCATATGTAACGTGAGCATATGTCAGTTTTTCTTTGAAATCCTTTGTAATTCAACCCCCCCCATGTTGGCGGATGCTAGTGTGTGTGTCTCGTATTCAATTAAAAAATACACATAACGTACCTAAATACGCGTGTATATGCGATACGACAATTCATGTGAATACGTGAATACACGAAAGGTAAGGATCACCTTCCTGTTAAGGAGAGCAAAAAAATTACGCATGGGCCCCGAGAACTGAATTTCAATTTGGAGAAAGACCATCTTGCTGAAGATAACATTCGAAGACACTTGAAGCTATCAACGGCCTCATCGGGATCTAAAGGTAGTTTAAGTGCTAAACCTGTAATTGTTAAATTTTCTGAACACCAGTAGTTTGACACGTGTTCGAATCTAGACAAATGGACCGGTTGATTAAGGGTTATCGTGGCTTTATCTCATATTTAATGTGAATGAGAACCTCATTCTCTTCAAAAACCCATCACGAAGGCATCGATCCTTTAAGCAAATACTAAATTTTATTATATTTGATTAAAGAAGTGAAACCAAATTTCCGATTTTCTCTGAAGATCTGCAATTTTCAAATAAATATTTAAATATATTTTAAATGTACTTTGTTGCCGATTTTTATAGATTAAAATTAGCTGGACCGCAAAAACAAAATCCAAATGAGATAACTAAAAGTAGTTTATGTGGAAGCACAAGCCTCATTCCTGTGAGGTCGTGTATCCACATTATCAGCAAATTACCAGTTAGTATTTAAAAGTAATACATGTATTCTTCTATCTTCAGATAAGGGATCCTCAAACATTTAGACGAAGTGTACGCGCTCTTCATAAATCCGCCACTGGGAATAAATGAGAAACTTTGGGGAATATGATAAACGATAAACGCTTTGGTACTAATGTGATACGTTCTCAATGTCGCTAACACAGTATATACAAATTATATATCGATTATTTTGCATACACGGATAATTATTTTATTTTCCCATTTACCTTTTAGCCAAATTCCATGACATATAATATTGGATATCCGAAAGAGCTTTTGAATGACTCGTACATCTCTGATACGTATGCAAATGTAGGTACTTTGATATTTATTCATGAGTTTTACAAAATGTTTAACATAAAAATTGAATTTCTTTCGGTAGAAATATTTCCCAATATACCTTTTTTTTCAGCTAGTACTTGACAGAGATTATTTCAATAATACACTAAAATTGCGCAAGTTGAAGACTGACTATACCTTCTCTCAGCTTCGGAAACCTATCCCAAAAAATGAGTATGTAATATTTTAATTATTGACAGCTTCGTGATTTTGACTTAACTTATTGATATTTTATTAAAATGAATATTTTTAAAATAAAAGATTTCAAACTAGGAAACCCTGTGTAGAAAACATTTGTAATTTAAAACTGTGGATCTGTTATTAGCTGGTCTCAGATTCATGAACAGAATGGAATTCTCTAAGTGATAATTATGATTAAAATTTCCCTAATTTCAACCATTTACGCAATGTAAGCCGTCCAGAATTCTCCCATCGTAAAATTGTATATTCTTGTTTATCAGTAAAAGGAGTCTAGGTTGCAGTTTATTTTGTTTTACTTATCAGATATAAAACTTTTTTAATTGTGTAAATTAATATTCTCATCAAACAGCTTAATTTGTTAATAATCAACTCTTTGAGAAAAATCAAGTACCTTATACAATATTCATATGAGGCGACATTATGAAATTTTAAGAGTCCGACATTGAATATTAAATTTGTAAAACTTGGGTATAAGGGTAAACAATTGTATAAAGTGTATTATCTTTGTGTAAAGGTTCTGCCTCCTTCTTAGCCAAAAAATAAAGACGGAAGCACAAAAGATAAAATAATTATCATTTAACATAACTGCTAGTATTACTTTTAAACTCTAACTTGGCGTAACTGTATGGCGTCAAGTTTATGCACTCAGTAAATTCTCTATTTATTTTAAAACTGGTTTGTGCAATCAGTAAACTTTTCTGTAACTTATGTCACATCAGTAAACTTTATTGTGTGAGATTAAAAACAACTGTTAAATTATGTTTTCGTATTCTCTATATTACCGAAGATTTGGCAAGAGAAAGGTGCAACATAATGATCTAATGAAATGGTAAACTATTGGGGTTAGGTCAATGGAATACACAAGGTGAGTTAGCATTTCCCAGCTAAAGCTCAGTAGGTTTTGCAGAATGATTAAATCAGCGCGAGGTCTGGTATAAACATGGCAAAAAAAAGATAACGACTTGCGATTAATGAAAATTACACTTAAATGTCAGTTTTATTCTCAGATTGTCCAACTATTGTTAATCGAGGCTAGATTCTATCGTTGGGTTACATTCCAGTGGATTATGACTCTCTTAACAGCATCATTCTGGAATGCAGTCTCCCTTTTGAGGTTGGTAGCATAATTCCGTAACAATACTCTTCAATTCCTAACACTATTGTAATGTTCATGATATGATTAACAGCATAATCATTCTTAGAAAATAAAAGGTAAAAAGACTTACCTTTTAGTCGATTTTCTTTCTCGTTCCAAAGGCGTATCCGGGAATGTTAATTTACATTCATCAAAAGGCACTACTCACGGAAAAAGAGAGGCTTCTAAGATAATAAGCTATTTAATTTACAATTACATCTTGCTGCGCGCATGCGCAAATCACGTGGTTGTCGGTGAGAGTTTCAACAACTATGATATAGTATCCATTTCCCATATTCTATTGCAGTTCGTTATGTAAATAATTTAGTTTTGTACTATGAAGCGAAGAAGCACAGGTGCACAGGTTCCTTACTTTGTTTCTCATTTGTGCTCAAAGTCGGTTAGAACTTTTAAAATATTTGATTTAGGTTTTATTAGTAGTTCATTTCCTTTGAAGTTGATTAGAACTTTGTGACATCAGATTTAAATTTTATTAGCAGTTTCTTTCCTTTATGCATTGTTTTGTTTAGGTACTCAATCAGTCCAGATGTTTGTGCAAATTATTACGGCAAACTGCGTAGGTTAAAGTTCAGAGGAAATCTTAACTGATGATTCTAAGTAGAATTCTGGCCGCTGATGCTGCTGCTTGCCTAAAGAACCGCTGATATGTACAGGAATTGTTGGTCGAATGTGTTATCTGACGCTAGTCGGATTTGTTAAGAGTTGAAAGTTAGTTTGGTAGTCTATCTGACTCAGACAGTATTGTAGATCCCGTAGAGCTTGACGGAATTGTAAGCTAGCCAATATATCGTAGATTTGCAACGATCTGCTGTCACCAGGAAATTGAACTAATTATTTTGTGTTATTTGATTCGTAAATCCCACAAGTCGTTAACTTTTACTCTCTGTCTTGTGTCCATAGTATGCATTAGGAAAGGCGATAACTAACCGACCAGTTTAGTTAACTGTATAAGTTAGCCATTACGTACAAGTAGTTCTATTAAGTAGTTAGACATCTTTAGATATTATAAACTCCTTGATGGAACTTTGAAACCAAAAGTTTTCATTCGTCTTTTGCTTGTTTTTCTGTGTGCCGGTAATGTTTCTGCTAGTTTGTGGATGGTTAGATATGGTTCACTTTTTACGTTCTGATTTAGCGGTTAATCTGAAACCTCTTACAAAATTTCAAAGCGTCTGCTCGGTATGCTTTGTGTATCCACCTTGAAATTTTTGAAACCGACTGCTAATGTTACTATTATTAAGTGTATCTTTCCACAACTTGACGATGCTATCACAAGCTTGGTCTACAGAATCATCTCCAAGAAATTCACTTAACAAAAGAAGTCTTAGAATGCTCCTTATGACTTGCTACTTTAAAGAGCTAAATAAATGTGGTACTTTGGTGTACTTGGTCTCTTGAAATGCTCTATCACCCACCAATAATTTTTTGAGTACACCCAATAATTTACCTTTAGATCTAGAAACTCTTACATTTCAGCAGTAAGTTATTAAAGGCAATTGTTTCGAGAGGCACGTGCTTAAATAATGCTATGGGATAAACAAACATTTTTACTTATATCTATTATATACACCAAGATAGCTTTCTTTTATAAAAGATAATTAAATGTATAAGGTTATGAAACCAAAGAATTTGTGTTTGAGTATTAAACTGGAATATTTTTGCAAAAATGCAGCAGACTTCCAAATATTAATTGGCTGCTCAAGATGGTTTAAATTCAATAATTACTCTGTGTACAAGGGGAAACAATCCTTTTTTGAGAGGTACTAAAAAGAGATACAGTTTATGAGAGGTACTGTAAAATAAGTTAGACATATTGGAAAATATATACTTTGTGATGAAGAAGCGTATTAATTTAAAACCTTGTAGCGGACAAAAGCGTTTCCGAAAGTGTCAGGAGATGTAGCCTCTATAGTTCCACCTTCTGGTGGAGAAGGTTAAAGTAATGGTTATCTATTAAATATATTTTTACTTAACAATTTTGATTCTAACCATCTTCACAGTGTTAGAGTTATATTATTTCATGTTTAATTTTGCCATGCTAATGGGTCATAAGATGTGATGTATAATCAAAACTCTTAAACCATTATTATGTAATGATAACTCTGGAGAAATAGAGACATCCCTTCCGTATAATCTTATGACGTAGCCGAGAAGTCCGGCTTACAGAAAATCTGAATTCTAGTTTCAGCGAGGCACACAGATTTTAATAAAATTCTATATTATTATGCTCTGAATAATGTTTAGAGTGGAATCGGAGGTAAAAAATGTGGAAGATATTTCTTTAACCTACTACTTTAAGACAGACACTTAGAAGTCGTAACTATTTTTTTCCTCATTAACAATCGTAACATTTACCACCATCACCGCATAGTAGGTACTAGGGGTGTTTGCAAATTAGATTGCTTGGCCATTTGCCACAGCAGTGGTTACTAAGGTCATTACTTCTGGTAAGCCAGAAGTGACTTTAAATCATGAGTTCCGAAATAACAGTCTATAGGCTTGGAAAACTTAGCTTCATCTCTCTTATCATTTAACAACGAGAGAGGCGTTACAATATAAATGACAGACATCAGCTCAATCTTTTGTGACAAATGTAGTCTTATCCATCTGGACATATACAGACCAAAATTATCTTTCCACAAAGAGTCATTTAATTTAACAAGATTCATCACTAAAACAATATTTCTAATATTTCTACATGCATATATTGCATGTTAATACAGTATACTGCCGCATGTTGGAGTGGTTGTCGCGTGAACTTATACTGCTTCGTGTTAGCGAGTTTTCGTTTATTTTTTAGACAGGCAAGCGGATAGATAAAAGGAAATCGCGTTGCAGAGCGAAAGCAACTTATATAGTACAAACTGAATGTTAAAGAATTCATTTTAGTTTCGGTAGTATTGAAGATACTGCCAAAACCTTCGGGAAAAAACTGCAACAAATAGCGTAATAAGTTTCAAAAATGTAGTATCACAGAAATGATGGGATATGAAAATTCATGTTTTATAATAATTTGAATGGATAACACATATTTACAGAAATGGTGATATGTAAACGAATTTAAATTAATGCAATGAAACATATCGCGACTATTCAATTTACTCAATTAATGCTTTAAAGGAAAGCTGAATTATTTCATTTTTACCACATATGCAAATGTGCAAAATATAAATTTAAATAATCTTTAATATAAAATATTTCAGTACAGGCTTATAACTAGAGAACTTTCCAAAGTGATTCAGTTTGTTTTCAGTCTTCTAGGGAAAATTTAATTTGCTATCTGTATGACAGCACATTTAAAGATAAATATATTAGCAACAATTCCTATAAGATCCCTTTATTCAACAAGCATTAAATTAAATAGTTGCTAATAAAACAGGCTGTTAATTATTATTAAATGTAAATACAGTCGTCTTCTATTATAAAAAGTATTAGTTACAAAAATATAAAACTATCAAAATAGTATAAAACAACTGAACTTTTAAGAAGAAAAGTTTTCAAGCAAGCAAATTAGAAATAAGAAACCTGTTCTTTAAACTACTTTTGAAAGATATAACAGTGTCTTATCATTTTAAATTATCAGTACATATTTATTTCCAGCTGGGTGGAACGAGTAAACGTAGCTGATGTGAATGCTGCCTATTCGAAATCGAAAAACAAAATTGGTAAACTGATTTTTTATGCTAAATTTCTCTGCCATATGCTAGTTAAAGCATTAATAGCAATTTTAAATGATTGACAAACTTAAAATAAGTAATAGGTGAAGTGAATGAAGCAGTGTGTCCGCAACTAAGAGAAAGTCAAAATTATAGGAAGGAAAAAAGCTGAGGGAAAAACTAAAAGAAAATTGAATTTTACAATATCGAGAAAAAACGTGAGGGGGTCACTTTTGTTAAAATTTCATTACTTAAGATTGTTATTATTTTTATTTTTTTTAACTTTTTAAACTAGCGGTACTGTCTAACCACAGTAGCGAGAGCAGTTTGGCTGAGAGCCAAGATGGGTTAGTTTAATTGAAGGGGTGAAAAGCGTGGGTATTTTTCCCTCTCGGAGGTAGTTGTGGTTGTGACAGCTTTAGTATCGTTATTAATCTCTCGTGCATTTGAAATAGATGAATAATATATAATGTACAGGTTACTGGCAATATTGAAACGCATAGCTCGAGAGCCGTATGCATTTTTCTCGAAGCATGTAATTATTTTTTTAAAATAAGTTTTTATACCTTTTCTTCTCTTATTTGTATGTCGCCATTTTTTTTATTGTAAAATAAAAGTTATTGCTGTGTTCCATCATTGGAGTTTACTTCAAATTGCTTAAGAAGTATCACAGGGTGTGGTAAATATTATAATTTTCTGTTGCGCAGAGCTCGAAAGAATTGTAGAAATACGACGGCACCCAGAGCCAAGGAATTTTTAATACACATAGTCGTCTACCCGAGCATGGGCTCATCAAAGCCCAAAGCTCGATTTTTCTTTGTATTTATTTCACATTTTGCGCAAATTTTACGAATTTTTGACAAACTTGGCAATTTTGAACGAAAAGGAGCAACACTGTCCGGAATAAAATACTTTTATCTCCAGTGCGCCAGGCTATTTCCATTCGGCAAAATAATAAAATATCTATCTTTAAATAGCCGAGTCTGTTAATCGACAGACTCTGCTACTTTTGAAGATTACTGAGTAATCTTCAAAAGAATGAACTGAGAATGAATGAGGTGACAGGTGACGGAAGACGGGGACACCTGGTGTTTAACAGTGGTAAACAGGCATATGTCCCACGCTTTCCCCTGTGTAGAAGCAGCAACTTTATTTAAATTAATAAAATTATTTACAGTGCAACAAGAGCAGATGAGTGATTGTGTTACATTGCAGTTCAGGGAGAATGAATGAAAATGAACTGGGTGATTTAAAAGTAATAAACAGTGTTCTCAAGAATAGTTATTCTGCTTTTTACTACAATTGATATAAATAAAACTGCGTTAAAACAATGAGATATCCAATTAGAAATATTAAATATTTTTATAAAATTACACTAGTCATTTCATAAAAATATTCATATATTTATAAAATACATAGTTTTTTTCCCTTATTTATGATAGGTCTTTTGGGCTAATGACCTTTCGAGCGGCTATTTTTCAAAGAAATATAGCGGATATTAAAAACGTAAGGCAGCCCATAACATTCTGTCATAAGTTTTGAAATCTGCTGTTTTTAAATATTTGTGGTTTTGCTCTTGTATTTTATGTGGCGTAAGTATGAAGAAAGCTATGATTAACTATAAAGCTGAAAAGTCAAAAAACGTGTTAGCAGGAGCAGGCTGGTAGCCCGCGATATTCAAATGAACAAATTATCTGGTGCGACGTTAAATTCTAAAATTCTTCTAGATTTTCCTTCCTCTTTTTCTCTTTATTATTATTATTAATGCTGTTGTTGTTGGGCTTAAATTCGGTAGCATTCATTTTCTTGGTGCTGTTGTCGCGAGTAAAACTGTAAAGTGTTAAGCTGTCGAACATATTTTCATTTCAATTTAGCTGAATGAATTGAAAAACTGTCTTACAACATCAGTTTTAAACTCTGAACAAAATAATTGTACAAATTGAACAAAATAATTTTAAAACCACATTTCACCGAAACATTACTGTATTTTTTACCATGGTTTTAAGAAGCAATTCGAAACTAAAAACATCAAGATTAGCAAAGAAGTAATAAAATGTTATGTCATAAATAACTGGAAGCTGACAGTTTCAACATTTCTGTTCAAATATTATCTAATAATTGACATGCCAATGAACTTACAAAATTTCAAAAATTCATAAGGATTTTATGTAATGTCTTTTTTGATGTTTTCACATATTTTTTAATATCTTTCATGCGTTTTTTGCTTAATCATATAGACACTTTATGGAACCATTCAATTCCATGCATAGTTAATCAAAAGACTTCTGAGTTACTGAGCTATACGTTCTTTCAAAGTAAACAGAATTTTTTAAATCACTATTTTTATATGTAGTCTAGAGATAAACTGCTGTCTTTACGAACAATTTAATCACAATTTTGGAAACAAAATAGTGATTCTTAAAAAATAAAATTTTTAATGCATTTCCTTTTCAAAGGCTCCGATCGCATCTCAAATATGTACAGTAATATTTCAGACTATTTTGTAACAGCAATACTGTTTTTACAGTGCTTCCTTCAGGATTATTACAGTTTCCTTTATTCAGCAAGGCCCAACCACAGTAAGTTATTAATTTAATTTTTTAAATACATTCAATTTAAATTCCTTTGAAATACAATTTTTGCACTGTTATGAGTTAATTTACATAATTCATCAAGTATTAGAAACTGTTTTGATCTGGATATAATTCGGATATACTCGTATATATTGTATTTCAGATATCTGAACTTTGGAGCTCTAGGTTACTACATCGGCCATGAAATAACACATGCATTCGATTACGGAGGTGAGGCATATGTTTATTTGAAAATAGTCACTTTAAACATTTATGGGGCTATTTTGTTATAGTGATGGTTAAAATGTTTTTGCGACTGATACATTTAAGAAACGAAATTTACTTCGCTTATTATATAAAATTAATTTTATATCTTATTAATTTGATTTTGTCCATTCAAATGGTGTAGTGATAAGACCAATTCAACAAAAGAAAGCTGTGAGACTGCACAGAACACTATTATGCATCGACCTTTCTTATGGTGGCTAGTGGTTATGTAGGCATTGAGAGAGTCTAACTGCCTAAGAAATCTATTCTCACTAATAGAAGACTATTTCAAAAAAATGGAAAATGTTTCCTAATACACAATGAAATAACTACCAAAGTATTCATTACAGGATGCTCTCAGGGTTCATGTCTGAGCGATGCCTTCTGGACACTTACCTTTAATACGATTATTAATTGCAACTTCCCTGACCATGCTAATATTTTCCATTCGCCAACGACACGGCGTTGGTCGTAAAAGGAAATTCAAGAAAAATACTGGAAGATAATGTATAAAGTTTTTCTCCTACCTTCCTAGCGTTCAATCTCTCTTGTTCAAAAAAATTCCTAATGCCTCTACAGTGGTGCCCGAACTAAAATTCTGTTGGATGATGTTTTTTCACACACAGGATTGTTGCCCTTTAAAAAAGGGAGTATATAAGGTATTTCTCCCACCATCCTAGCGTACCTTCGTGGTTCAATTCCCGCGAAGTTGATTGCTCATTTTTCATCTTGCCTGCTTCCAAAAATACCTAATGTCTCTACAGTGGCGTCCGAACTAAAAGGGTGCTGGATGATGATTCTCTTCAACCAGGATTGGGTCCCCTGAAAAGCTCAGTCGCCCTTTAAAAGGGGGAGTATATAAGTTATTTCTCCCACCTTCCTAGCGTGCCGTCGTGGTGTAGTGATTCTGCACGCTGGGTCGGTATTCCAGAGGTCCATGGTTCGATTCCCGGCGAAGACGTTTGCTGATTTTTCAATTTTTCTGCTTCCAAAAATGTACCTAATGTCTCTACAAATGTTAAGCCTTTCACTTCCAGAACTTAATGCAGAATATAAGAAATTCAAATTATACATATCACAAGATAATTCGAAAGCCATACTATTTCGCAAGCCACGATAAAAATTGACAAAGAATCCTACATTTTAGTTACATAATAAAAGAATTAAAATCTCCATTGACATAAAAAAAAAATTCTTAAACATTTACGTCAACAGTCACCTCAATTTTTAAGCCATCGGACACACATGCCAAAGGAATCAAATAAAGCTAGAAACAATATTAAAAATTTGCAGCGCTACGGTTGGGTGCCCTCATGTGCAGAAAATACTGTTTAACACAGCCATTACTAGTATCATAGGTTACAGTACAGCCATTAGGGCCGTGAAGACAAATGAGGGGCAAAAGCGGAAACTATATACTCGTACTATTCAAAGACTATTTTTTACTTTCAATCTGTAAAGCCTATATGACGATAGCAGGAGGGGATTGGAGTAATATCCTTGGAGTGCATGTGGCAAAGATTTTCGTATCCTCCTTGAGAGAGAGGCTCATAATATGACCGCTGGCAATAGGTGAGAGCGCAGTTCAGGAGCACCTGTCACACTGAAAAGTTAAGAGTCCAACCAGGCCTGCTGCTCAGGTACTAGAGATGGGTGGGAGGCACCAACCACTCCACCATGATTTGTAATGTTTTCAGAGGAAATAATTCCAGATAGGTAAGGTCGGACACTTTATGCATAGGGACAAAGAGAATATAAAACAACAAAGCAAATGTAGATATTTGATGAATAAAAAATACCTTTCCTTTCGCAAATAAGATGTGAAAGTTGTTCTATAATGAATGTTAGAGTTTTCTGCTTATCACTCTCATCATTATTAACAGTTCTAAACGCAGAAATAGCTTTCTTATAACATTTAAAAACAAATTTTTGTCTTGCGGCTTGGAAATATTTAATGAAGTTGTAGGGTTTATATTTATTTTAACTAACATTTATTTAAAGTTTAAACTATCTTTCCTGTCAAGCCTTACTTTCCCCTGTGTGATATTCTTACTTAGCGAGCGCGGAGGTAGTTAGCGAGAATTGAAGAACCCCGCGTTGCGGCCTATGTGCTTGGCGGGAAGTAGTTGTAATCGTTCCAGTGAGCTTCAAGTCTGCTGAATTAGCAGCGGTATTGTAAAACGCGGTGAGTTAGTTATTTTAGAGAGCCTCGTAGTTAGAATCTTGTCTTTACTTTCTTTTCAGGTTATTATTTTTATTTGACTGCCAAGTTGGCACAGTCTGTGAGCGTCAAGAGCACGCAATTGTAATTTATTACGTTGAATAAAAAGGGACTTAAACCCTTTACAAGACTCTGTCTTTTATACAAGTTTTCACAGTCACCTCTTGGTTGCGTGCAAGTTGGAGGCGCGCAACGTTATATTGGCGCCCGAACAATTATCGAACTGAAATGGCCGAAAATTGGATGGAAGCCGCTGGACAACACCAAGAAATGACAACTCAGTTAGAAGGATTTGGATACCTGGTCCAGACTTTGAGAGCATCAATCAAGCCAAACGTCCATTTCGACGGAAAAAATTCGGTGGCGGTATTTCTAGAAGGTCTAGAAAAACCACTTTCAGCTCTACCCTGTGCCTGAAAGACAAAAAGTTGCCATCGCCACATCAGCACTAAGAGGACAGGCCGCGCTATGGTGGAAAAACATAGGCAAATTTTTATTAGGGGAATTTGGAAGCCAGACATATACATTTGAAAATTTAAAAAAAATCGTTAGTAAAGGCCTTCCCCATAGTGAAAGATCGCGCACGGCTGGAAGCCGAACTATATAGTTTCTATCAACGGGATACAGCAGAATTGACGGACTTTATTCTACGAAAAATCAAGCTAACGGATATGCTGTATGGAAAGAAACCCGATGCGGAGATTATTGAAATAATATTACCAAGATTGTTACCCGCTGTTCAAGACTACTTTGAAATTAGAAACCCAAGCACATTGCAGGAACTTTTCGAATTGGCGGTGAAGTTTCAAAATCGCAGAATAGCGGAAAAAGCGAGAGGGGAAACATATTCTCAAAGTACCCGAAGGAAGGAGGAAACCAGAAATGGAAATCGCTCTTATGGGGGAAAGAACTATCAAGCTAACGCATCGAAACTCGAAGGTCAAGGCCCAAAAAGAAAATTTGAAAATAAAACATCCGCGTACCCAGAAGACACAGATTGAAAGGAAAGCTTTAAACGAAGTAGAGGGGCCTGTGAAAGGGAGGGTCCAGACCCCGGAAGTTTTAAAAAAACCCTCAAATAGACATTTAAACACGGTCATCGTAAAAAACTCACAGCTACCAATTATACAAGTCCTGGTTGGCGATGTACCAGTAGAAGCCCTCATCGATACAGGAGCAGAAGGAAATTTTATGAGTGAAAATTTCTTCAAAAAGAATTTTTATAGGATACGATTATTTAAAACCAGAAATACGGAAATTATAGCGGCGCAAGGAAAAACATGTCACTGCATCGGGAAATTATCATTAAACTTACAGGTAAAAGAGGAAAATCTCAAAGTATTAATTTTTGTGGTGAAAGACCTGCAACACTCTCTTATTTTAGGTATGGACTTTTTAAGGGCCGCGAGGGCCAAATTAAATTTTCAAGATAGTTCCGTGGTGTTGGAGATGGACCAAAGGGTGGTGGAACCTGTGGAGACACCTGAAGTGGACCTTAGCCATCTGAATGACCATGAAAGTAAAGCAATACAGCAAGTGGTGAGTAATTTTTCTCATTTGTTTTCAGAAAAACCAGGAAACTGCCAAATCGTGACTCACAAGATTCAATTAAATGCCGAAAAACCTTGTAGGACTAAACCGTTATCGTTATGATAAACAAAAAGACGTAATCATCGAAGAACATATTCAGGAGATGTTAAAGAAAAAAAAATAATAACGCCCATAAATAGTGAGTACGCGAGTCCAGTCGTACTATGTAGGAAAAAGAACGAGTTTCCTCCTTCGGATAAAAGGGCTTGGAGGTTTGCTATCGATTACAGAAAACTAAATAGTATTACCAAATTTCCAGTTTACCCTTTGCCGGTTATAGACGAGATCATTAGACAGATCAAATCGACAAGATATATGTCTACTTTGGACTTAACGTCTGGCTACTATCAAATAGCTATGAGACCCGAAGATATACATAAAACCGCGTTTATAACAAAATCGGGCACTTATGCATTTTTACGCATGCCCTTTGGGTTGTGTGGGGCCCCATCAACATTCCAGAGAGCTATGGACATTGTTCTAAAGCCTGTCCTAGGAAAATCAACTTTAATTTATCTAGATGATATAATTATAACGAGTAGTACGTTGGAACAACACATTAATGACCTCGAACAAGTTTTTAAATTATTAAAAGAGGCCGGTCTTACAATTAACGCCTCAAAATGCAAGTTCGCAACTAAAGAACTTAAATATCTCGGTTATAAAATTTCGCAAAAGGGTATATAGAAACGCAAGATTCAAAAATAAAAGCTATTAAGAATTTCCCACCGCCCAACACCGCCAAGAAACTTTCATCTTTCCTTGGGTTATGTTCTTACTATCGATCTTTCATAAAAGATTTCGCTAATATTGTTGAACCACTCTTAGTAATCAAAAGAAAAAAGAGTAAATTTACGTGGACAGCGGAAGCTAACACAGCTTTTGAAAGATTAAAAGAAGCGCTTATTAATGCCCCTGTTTTAAAATTCCCTGAGGGGGACGAAAACCTGGAAATTGCAGCAGATGCGTCAGACTATGCGGTGGGTGCGGTTCTTATGCAAAATAACCATCCGCTGGCATTTTTTAGTAAAACATTGAATCAGACACAAAGGAATTATACAGCTACAGAAAGAGAAACATTAGCCGTATTAATGGCTGTACACAAATTTCGAGTTTATTTCGGCAAATCGCCAGTAACAGTCTTTTCGGATCA